CCAAGATTAACCTGGTGCAAACATATGGAAGGACTCTATTCCAGACTCCATTTGTCTTTTGCCGAAGCTCAGACTCTGGCACATTGTCGGGAACGTGGGAAGCTTTGTCTGGCGCGTCTGCCTCCGCGACTCGGAAGGAGAAGCGGCGATGGAAAGCGAACATGAAGATGAAGACAGAAGGCGTGAAATATGCTTTCCTCTTATGAAAGTTAAACAGTGAATGCAGGGGAAAAGGTTTTCAGTATTAAAGCGGGCGAGCGCTACTTGAAACAGCTCTACTCGCCATGCAGAGTATGTTTTGTTGTCAAACAGTGAATGCTCCTGTAGGAATCGCCTGCATCATTTTTAAATCCATTCTAAGCCTATCGGGGGCCGGTAGGTGATAATGAGAAACTGTAACTCGAATGGTAAGCATGAAAGATGAAACTATAAAGATACGTATTTGAACGATTCATGGTTCAGGGCCACAAAGAGTATGCAACAATTTAACGCCGACTCGTTTCGCAAAGTAAACCGTTGCATCATGAGGACTAGGCAAAGTACAAATGAACGTTTGAATGCAGATGTCCAATAAGAGAATTGAACCTTATAGCCGAAATGTTGTTAAACCGAACTGTCAGTGTTAATCAACAAAACAGTGTAAATTTCTCATTAAAACGAACTTGTCAATTTTATAATTGTCCCCCCCCCCCGAACTTTCGCTAATAACCACAGAAGATGTGTATTCGTTGCACATTCGGTTTCTCATTACCAGTATATGCAAGGACTATTTTATGAGTAGACCTGGATTAGATTATTTAGATTAGTCTTAATCTATAACCGACGTTGATCTGACTAAAAGAATGTCCTTTAGTAGTCGCCACTGGGCAATACCGGAATTGTGAACCTGCCACAGAAAGACCATATAAAGCTGCTGTTTAACTCTGCTGTCAATTTTCGGTTGGTCGTTCCAATGTGCACCTCGTCGTGCTGTCTGCACTGAACTTTGTATACTACACTTGACTCATCTTCAGTATTATTATTGGACAAGTTCTTTTTAAAGAAGACGTCTCCGAATGTTCTGCCGGTCTTGTTGCAGACTCTAAACCTCATGTTGTTGACGTACCTCTTAATACGCTGAGATAACTGAACGGTAACTTTACCATTGATCCGTACGAACGGGCCATCTTTAAGTTTGAAGTGGGGTGCACAGGAGTTCTTCATCAAGGATCCTCCTTTGGTAACCATTCTTTAGGAACGCTTGGTGAAGACGTTGGATTTCCGCATTTAGGGCTGAAATGTTATTGCAGGACTCTTTGGCTGGCAAACGCAGGTTCCTAGATAATTTAGGAAGGAGAGGTGACGCCGGGTGTAGGCATCGATTGGAATGCGTTGGTTTCGGATATACGAAAACCTCAAATTCAAACGATGGTGTTCTCTTCACCAGCACGTCCAGAAATGATGTAGAGTGGCTAACTTTCACTTCAGTAGTAAAGCGTATTTGGCCATTTTTATCTTGCCCATTCTTGCAATTCATGAAATACTCTAACTTTCAGTTCCTCCTCATTTCGTTCGATTAACAGGTAAACGTCGTCAACGAATTAAACATAGAACAATGGTCGGAAAGCTGGCGGTCATTCTTCAAGGGCTTTCACCTCTAGGTTGTCCTTACAAAGATCAGCTAACACAACACTGACCAGGGAGCCCATCGGAACGCCGTACCTCTGGTGGTAGGCAGTGTTTGTGAATTGAAAACTGGTGCAATTTATGAAAAGGCTAAGGATTGTCATTAAATCCTTCATTTTGCAATTTCTTAGCGCTTTCAGATGTTCTCCACTCGTTCATCGTGTTCTTCAAGATCTTTGGTAAAATATTATTACACAGTGTGTTAGTATCCATATTATGGAAAAGGGCGGTGACATCTAACGAAGCCATGAAGCAATATTGATTATCATATTCCTTCAGTCTGCAGAGAAACTGCATTCTGTCTTTTACTCTGTAAGTCATCGTACCAGCAGCAGTAATCGATCCAGCTCTGTGGCAATCGGTACCTTACTGTTCTCCTAGCCGGCATGATAACACGCAACGAGTTTTACTAATCCACAAGGTCTTGGGGTTAAACAGGAATCAATACGAGGCAGGATTCCACGTACCCCTTTTCGGGTAGCCAACTTCCTATCCTGCAAATTCCTTAAGACCCCCAGCAGCATTCGACGCGTTGCCTTATCAAGGTTGGCGTTTCATCGGAGTTTCGCATATACTTCACTGTTCCTGAAGTGGGCCCACATTCCAGCTTCATATTTATCCATGGGCATCACCACCGTTTTCGCTCCTCTGTCAGTGCAGAGGACTATTGTGTTGGTTCTTTAACTTTTTCTTCAGCCCCCTAATGGCCAAAGTGTGACATGGAGCCAGGTTAGAACGAGATTTATAGATGTCATTGGGGATAATAAGGCCAACGCAAGAAATGTTTTCTTCCTCAAGACCTTTCAGTCTTTCACCGGAGTGAAGGAATCCTTTCCGTATACCAACCATGATGTCAGAGATGGAAATAGTAGGGTTGGCAATGGTGAATCGAGGATCAAACGCAAGTACGTATTTTTCCGTGTCCATGAGTGCAGTGCTGCTCAGGCTGACTATTACGCTTTGACGGGAATTCCCACCTGGCCAAATTCGACGACTGAATATTTTCATCTAACGTGTGATCAGATCTTGTAGCTTTCTTTTCTCACACATGCGAATGACGTTAAATAATAAATTTCCAATAGTCATTACGTATACTAATTTTGATTAATTGGAAGTCGGGTTCGATGCTTGCTCAGCGACAGCGTTCCATAGTCGAGCAACAAAAGTTTCATGGTGTTGTCTTGATCAAAATAGTCCCACAATTTCAGTCGTCATACGCTTCTTTGAACATGCGTGCATGATGAAATCACCACCATGTCTTCTTGATGACAAAACTAACCGGAGTGACATCATTCTTGAGGCATGTCCTTAGAAAAATGATCGAATTCGGCATGTGGGCTAGACGGAAGCTTTCCATATTTCAGGTCTTTCAGTACAGCAATCAATTCGTGACCATATCGGTCATATAAATACTTCTTTAGGTTTTCGATTCTGGGCCCATTGTTATGAAGATAAGTATTTGATTTGCAATGTTTGGTGCCCTGAGCCATGCGTCGTTCAAATACTTGTCTTCATAACAATGGGCTTAGAATCGAAAACCTAAAAATGCATTAAAGATTAAACTATTTTTAGAACGTTCAATTCTCCCTTCCTTCTTCCGTTTTCCGTCACTAAACCAATTAACCAATTGCTGCTTTTGTCATCTCGTCCACTGATGAATTAATTCATTCATTCATTCATTAATGAGTTCTTTCGTTTCGTTTTTTGCTCATTTCATTCATTGGGCATTCATTCACCTAGTCGTTCAATCATCGCAAGTCCTTCCACTGTGTGAAAGTGGCATTTCAAGAAAGGATGAATGAACTCTCGTCATCACCATGCCAATTTTCCTGTACACTAACGTGAGAGACGACTGATAATGTTCTTCGGCTGGACATTGGATGATGACATGACGAAACGATATAAAACGTCTATGATCAAGACAGTCAGCTTCCGCCTTCGAAACGGAAAATGTAAACATAAAATTCTGCAGTAAACACATAAATTTAAAAAGTTGATTTGCAGTTTCGTTGATTCGTTTCAATTATTCAGTTCATTTTTGAACTCTTGTACTTTCTTTGTTGAGTTGAGTGACCAGAGGTCACAAGTTCGGGCAAGTCAGCGAAATAATAGCTTTGGCTGGCCTAAGTCAATTGTGTAACCGTTGAGCAAGTCGGTTTATCGCCATGATAGAGATTCAGTTAATGCTTTTGTGAAAAAGTTGATGTTTATCGAGCAGTCGATAAAGGCTGTGAAATCTGGAAAATCTGAGCGTACACACAAGCGACGAGCGGGCGTGATGACTACCGAGAAAGGCGCCGAAAACAGAGGGTTCGAAGACGACACGGCTGCGGTCGAAGAGACCAATGGCCAGCCAACGGATCAAGTAAGTCTCAGAGGATCGATCCTCACCGCTCATGCAATCAGCTGGTCAGTAGTGATGAACACGTTGTACCATTTAGGTGACGCGTGACCGAAAAGCGGCTGTCGATGGACAAGTCGAACTGCAAGATATGCCAGTGCCTACCTCAACGCAGGAAGCGAAGATCGACGACGACCTACACGCAGCTGCTGAGGAGCACAGGTGCACAGGCTGGATTGGCAGGTGCCAGTCGGTCTGTTCTGGCTTCAGCAGCCGACATCAGCTCTGCCTATCCTGGATCAGAACCTCGACGCTGCTGGTTCTGTTCCACGCCTACTTCGTCGTCGCAGTCGTTCATGATTTTGAGAAGGCGAAAACGCTGGTCGTCCTCACCGTCCTCGGATGGGTCGGCGTCTTCTACATCAAAGTGTTCAAAGTTTACTGTGTCCCCTACCTGGAAAAGATTCTACTATCGCCGCTCAGAAAACGCGTCTATCAAATTTGGGGCCGCAAGTGGTTCAGAATGTAAGACCGACCTTTGTGCGTTTTTGTGACCAATGTCTTGTGCTTATGTTTTGCAGGATGATTTACTGCTGTCTCGCTGCAGCGTTGATCGCGTGTGTCCTTGGCATTACGGCGCCTAATTGGGAACGACTGACTCCGGTTTGTGGCTTGGTCGTCTTCGTTCTATTCCTCTTCCTATTCTCTAAGAGTCGTTCAAAGGTAAGAAGCTCAAAACCTGAAAGCACAGACAATGGGCACTTTTTCGGAATCGAGGAATTCACAGATGACTAAAACCTTAAGAGCATGCAAATTCTACACTTGAAGTTATCCTCTTTTTCTAAATTACTCTTTCGTACATGCAACAGACTGTCCTGCTCTTCAGCAGGCGTACTTGATCTATTACTCGTGCAATGTTTACCTGCAGTTGCGGAGCTAAAAGCTGGCACATCAATACTAATGCAGACTGTTTGCTCTGATGGTGACGAATGAAGTATGGCTGAAGCGTTGACAGAAGAAGAAGCAGAACTCTTGCTTCCGCATTTTCCTCTGTCTCGGAAATGTCACTTAAACGGCATTTTATTGAACAAGAACACACGCCACTGAAGCCAGTTTCAAAAGTCATAAAAACTAACCGTTAAACAGCCTTCATCCTCATTTTAATCCGCGTTGTTTCAACAGCTACTAATTCAAATATCTGAGTAATGCTTTCCGCATTTTATTGTGAGACAGAATCTGTGCAAATCGAGCAAAAGTGCTACGAAGAATAGAATAGAATAAAAGTCCAACTTTCGCCCGTTAGCACCTTACAATGTTCCGTTGTATACCTTAAACGGAACACGATGGGAAAACGAGGAGGTAGAGGCAAGCTTATCAGACAAACACTGACTGGTTTAAAGAAAATTTCTAGCAATAATGCATTTAAGCGTAAATAAAGATGAACAGTAGCAAATTAAATAACAAACATAGCAGTTATGGGAGAAATTTCGATCCCGCGTGCAATCGGCTTAAATAATCCTTCTGAGACAAATTACTCGGTTCGCATGTCTCGACAATGTCCACAGTACAGATATCCAAGAGAAGCCTTGGTGTATAGTCGTTGTCTTTTCAGATTTGAGAAGTCACAGCTCGATGGTTTGGCATACTTTGCGAATTTTGATTCCAGAAATAAAGGCGAAACAGCTATTACTGTCCAACCAACCGGCCGAAGACAGCTGGGAAGTCAAGAATAGTGTTAGACGAATGTGTCGAAGGAGCCTGCTCCAGACCCTGATTATTTCCTGCCGAAGCTCAAATGATGGTCAACGATGGGGAATGCTGGAGATACTTATTGAGGCCT